GCCAGCTGTGTCTCACATGAGAGTGCCTTGGTTCAGTTCTTGGCTCCAACTCCTTGTTCAAACTTCTTGCTATTGTGGACTCTGGAAGGCAGTGGTGATCTCTCAAGTTACTGGGTTCCGTCACCCATAGGTGAGACCTGATTTGAGTTCCTAGCTTATGGCATCAGCCTGGCTCAGCCCTGGCCATTGTGGACATTTGGAATATGAACTAGCAAATGAGAGAGCTTGCTCACTGTGGCTCTCTCTGCCTCTCAAATAAATAAAATAACATTTCTAATGTTCTCAAAAATATGTCAGAATGCCTTCTGTAAATAATAAATTTTCTTATTTTAATCCTGTTCGATCTAATTCAGCAGTCTATTGAAATAGAAAGCTGATTTATTCCGTATATTAAAATGCAATGCTCTCTTAATGCTTCTTATTTAGACATAACAAGTAATAAGTATAAAATGTTTATTCAGGAGAGATGTCCTTGGTAGAGAATTTTAGCAAATTGATGAGATTGATTCATAATTCACATGTCACCTTTTTATGTGTAAATATACGCTTCTAATTTATTCACTTTTCAGCAAGTACTGAAATTGTCATTCAAGAAACAAAGTTAAGTTAGGTACACATGACCAACAGTACCTGTCCTATGGAGCTAATAGGCTAGTGGAGAAGAATGAAAGTTAAGAAATCATAAAAATCTATATCAAAGGGACAGAGTGGTAGATGCTACAAAGAAATGGTTCACAGTTCTGGAAAAGTAGGAAGTTGCTCTACTGAAGGAGATCAGGTATGAGAACATGATGAAAGATGAGTAGCAGATAATAAGTCAAAGAATACATGAGGTGGGGAGGAAGTCATGCTGATTAAAGTACATGTAAATAAGTATTCTATTAGTTATCCTTAAAATCATATTATGTATTCTAAATTGGTAAATCAAAGTGAATGAAATTCAACATATGGGCAAAATATATAAAAGTTAAGTGGACGAATTTACCTCATACTTATTTTTATCTACATCTATGTTTAACTTTGGTGCCCATGATTGTTTGACACTTTAATTTATGGGATTGATTTATTTAATTATTTTAAATTTTATTAGAGAGAGAGCACATGCGCTCATTTCTGCTGTTTCATTGCCCCAAATTCCTGAAACAGCCAGGACTAGGCCAAAATAATTCAGGAGCTAGAAGCCAGAAACTCAGGTCCCACATGGATGGCACAAACCCAATTACTTAGACCATCAATTCTGAGGAGCCAGAGGTAGAAATTGAACCCAAACACTCTTGATTTGGGACACGGACATCTTAACAGGTATCTTAACCTCTAGGGCCAAATGCTTGACTGTATGTGTACTTTTAAATTTGAAGAAGCCTATAATAAAATCAGAATTAATAACTGAGGGAAGTAGTCTCAAAATGAAAATAAGAGACTAGAACTAAGTTAATCCCCTGAATCGTACCTAAAGAATTTTCTAAGTTTTTCTTCACTTGTAAAAGATATTTAAGAATGAGATAGATTCCCAAAATTAAGTGCCAGTGCAAATATCTGGTTGGAAAATAAAAAAAAAAAACACACTCAAATTCAACAACAATTCAATTATTTCATCGTTTTAATGTTACATGAAAGTGGAGTACACTGGATTGGACAGAGTTCCCCCAAAAGTCATGTCCTTCTCAGAAACTTCTAATTGTAATCTGAATTTAGAAATACTGTCATTGTTAAAATGTGGCCACACTGGAACAGGCAGGCCCTTAATCCAATGTGACTATAATCCTATGAGAAAAGAAGAGAGACAGAAATAGGGAGACTGTCATGAGAAGAGGGAGGCAGAAGTTGGAATTATAAATCTTACAAACCCAGGGACTCCACAGATTGCAGGCAACCATCCACCAAAATGTGGGAGAAAAGCTGGAAGAGATTTTCCATCAGCGTCTCCAGTAGGAACCAGTACTGTTGGACACCTTGATTTTTGACTGCTTGCCTCTAGACCAGTGACCCCACACATATCTACTGTTTTAACCCACTGATTGTGATCATTCATTTGTGGCAACCCTAGAAAACTAATACTCTAACAGAAAAAATTCTTCAATAATATGCAATAAATAAAATTGATTTAAAAAAAAAGTGAAATGAACACTATGAGAAACGGTGACTTGATCATCCCTTGCCCTGACTCTGACTGTTGATGAACAACTTAATACATTATCCCTCTTAGTATTTTTTGTTTGTTTGTTCTACTTAATACTTTTGGTTGAATACTGTAATCAATACAGTTATTCTCAAGTGTTGAAACTTAACTGAAAAGTGACCACTGTTTTTTTTTTTTTTAAGATTCAAAGCTAACTACTTTATTTTTTATTTTTTTTTTATCTTTTATTTAATGAATATAGATTTCCAAAGTACGACTCATGTGTTACAATGGCTTCCCCCCCCATACCGTCCCTCCCACCCACAACCCTCCCCTTTCCCACTCCCTCTCCCCTTCCATTCACGTCAAGATTCATTTTCGATTATCTTAATATACAGAAGATCAGCTTAGTATACCTTAAGTAAGTATTTCAACAGTTTGCTCCCACACAGAAACATAAAGTGAAAAATAATAGATGATTTTTTTAAAATGATGATGAAATCAGATCAGACCTATTGTCATGTTTAATCCCAGTGAGAGTCAAGTTGGGAATTGATAATTTCTTTTTTTTTTTTTTTTTTTTTTTTTTTTTTTACAGAAGATCAGTTTAGTGTACATTAAGTAAAGATTTCAATCGTTTGCACCCCCATAGAAACACAAAGTGAAATATACTGTTTGAGTACTCGTTATAGCATTAAGCCTCAGTGTACAGCACGTTAAGGACAGAGATCCTACATGAGGAGTAAGTGCACAGTGACTCCTCTTGTTGACTTTACAAATTGACACTCCTGTTTATGGCATCAGTAATCTCCCTATGCACCAGTTATGAGTTTCCAAGGCTATGGAAGCCCCTTGAGTTCTCCGACTCTTATCTTGTTTAGACACGGTCATAGTCAAAGTGGAGGTTCTCTCCTCCCTTCAGAGAAAGGCACCTCCCTCTTTGAAGACCTGTTCTTTCCACTGGGATCTCACTCACAGAGATCTTTTTGCCAGAGTGTCTTGGCTTTCCATGCCTGAAATACTCTCATGGGCTTGAAAAGTGACCACTGTTAAATATAAGAGTGGGAATAAGAGAGGGAAGAGATGTGCAATTCGGGACATACTCAAGCTGACTTACCTCAAATGGTAGAGTTAGAAACATACCAGGGGATTCGAATTCAATCCCATCAAGGTGGCATGTACCAATGCCATCTCACTAGTCCCGGTGATCAATTTCTGTTCACAATTGATCATAATGATAGGACTAAGAGCCAAAGGGAGCACATAAACAAGACTAGTGTCTGCAAATACTAGCTGATAGAATCAAAAAGGGAGAGAATGATCCAACATGGGAAGTGAGATACACAGCAGACCCATAGAATGGCAGATGTCCTAAACAGCACTCTGGCCTCAGAATCAGCCCTTAAGGCACGCAGATCTGGCTGAAAAGCCCATGAGAGTATTTCAGGCATGGAAAGCTAAAATACTCTGGCAAAAAAAACCAAAAACAAACAAACAAAAAACCAAAAAAAAAAAAAACACAACCCTACATGAAAGATCTCTGCGAGTGAGATCCCAGTGAAAAGAACAGGTCATCAAAGAAGGAGGTACCTTTCTCTGAAGGGAGGAGAGAACTTCCACTTTGACCATGGCCTTGTCTAAATATGATCAGAGTCAGTGAACTCAAAAGGCTTCCATAGCCTTGGCAGCTCATGACAAGAGCCTAGGGTGATTACTGATGCCATAAACTAGAGTGTCAATTTGTTAAGTCAACAACAGGAGTCACTGTGCACTTACTCCTCATGTAGGATCTTTGTCCTTAATGTGCTGTACATTGTGATTTAATGCTATAACTAGTACTCAAACAGTATTTTTCACTTTGTGTTTCTATGTGGGTGCAAACTGTTTAAATCTTTACTTAATATATGCTAAGCTGATCTTCTGTATATAAAGAGAATCAAAAATGAATCTCGATGTGAATGGAAGGGGGGAGGGAGAAGGAAAGGAGAGGGTTGCGGGTGGGAGGGAAGTTATGGGGGGAAAGCCATTGTAATCCATAAACTGTACTTTGGAAATTTATATTCATTAAATAAAAGTTAAAAAAACACATAAAGTTTAGCTTAGTTCAATATCTGCATTTTTTGGTAAAATGTGTGATTTTCAGCCTTCCTGATAAGAATCCATGTCATGGCAAATGCAACACACAGAAGAGATAAGAAAAAATCTTCTCTTTGTGCTGAAGCCACACTGCTTCTTTTGGAGGTTGAAGGTTTAAAGATTCCCTAAAGAAGTTTTTTTTTATTACCATTATAATTCAAAGCAAAGACCTGGCATTGTAGCTTAGTAAAGCCACCACTTGGGATGCTGACATCCTACATGGGCATTGGTTTGTGTGCTAGCTGCTCTACTTCTGATCTAGCTCCCTGCTGGTGACCTGGGAAAAGCAGCAGCAGATGTCTCAACTGTTTGGTCCCCTATCACCCACATGGGAGACCCAATTGGATTTCTTGGCTCCTGGTTTCAGCCGGGCAGAGTGCTGGTTGTTGTGACCATCTGGGGAGTAAAATAGCAGATGGAAGATCTGTCTTTCTCTCTGCCACTCCTTCTGTCTTTGTATCTCTGAAGATTAAAAAACAATTACAACGTAACAGTTGGGTTATACAATATTCATTGACAGGCTTGGACAGAGTTAGTGTGTTCTACCACCCTTCAGAGGCAGTGACCATGGGCTGATACATATTGGGCCAATGCAAGAAAAGAAATGAGCTGGTTACTTGTCAGAGTTCAACATCTATTAGACATTTGAGGCAAAACTTTAAGACAAGGACTAGCAAGAAAAATAAAATTTTTATGGAAAAAATTAAAGCTTAGATGATATGCACTTGTTTAAGGGAAAATGATGTTCTAGCACAATGGACTAGAAAAGAATAGATTGACAGATTGCGTAGAGTAATAACAATCATAAAAATCAAATTCTAATCAAAATTCCTCTGCCAGCTGAATAACCTAAAAACACAGCAAAGTTTGTATATTTTTTGTAAATTTTTGAAGCACATTCAAACCATATCTCATAAAAAGTATATCTAAACTGGAGTTGGTGCTGTGAAGAAATGGATTAAGGTTCTGCCTGCAAAGCTGGCATCCCATATGGGTGCCAGTTTGAGTCCCAATGGTCCACTTCTGATCCAGATCCCTGATAATGTGCCTGGGAAAGCAGCAGATTTCCCAAGTCCTTAGGCCCCTGAACCCACGTAGGAGACCCTGCTTAAGCTTTTGACTCCTGGCTTCAGCGTGGTTCAGCCCTAGCAATTGTGGCCATTTGGAGAGTTTACCAGCAGATGGAAAATCCATATCCCACCCTCCCCCATCTCCCTCTGTAATTCTTTCAAAGAAATAAATTGATTAAAAACATATATACCTAAACTTACAAAACAAGCTGAAAAAATTTGACTCATTTTATTGCTTTTTTTTTTGACCAGTTACAGAAACTGGTAAAAGGCAAGTAAATAACTTTGTGGGCCAAAAATTAAAATCTCCCAGCATAATTACAAATAGTCATCAAAACCAAGTTGACCTATTACAAAATGAATAGATCATTCACTTTTAGAATATCTGTTACTATAGTGGTCTACATTACATCAAAATTAATAAAAATTATATGAATAAAAATCTGACAAATTCTAATCAACTTATGATAAATCTGTTAGCAATAAAAATTTTAACAAACTAATAGTAAAATGGAACTTACTTCACTCAGAAATTTCTTTTTTCTTAAAGATTTATTTTATTTATTTGAAAGACAGGGCTACAGTGAAAGAGATGGAGACACAAAGAGAGAGACATCTTCCATCCATTGGCTCACTTCCCAAATGGCCACAACGGCCATGTCTGGGCCAGGCTGAAGCCAACAGCCAGAAGCTGCTTCTGGGTTTACCATGTGGGTGCAAGAGCCCAGAGAATAGACATATTCTGGGGCTTTCTCAGGCACATTAGCAGGAAGCTGGATCAGAAGTGGAGCATCTGGGACTCACACTGGTACCCATTTGGGATGCCGGTGCTGCAAGCAGCGGCTTAACTCACTACGCCATAATGCTGGCCATAAGAAATTTCTTAATATCAAGAATTTAAAGGAAACGTCACATTTAATGGTGATATTAGACTGCATTTCCATTAAATTCAAGAATAAGACAAGATGTTTGATATTCTTAATGTTGATTACCTTTAAAATGTAAGCCTTGGTCTTTCTAATAAGAACAAGAAATTAAATGAAGGTATGAGGATTGGAAACAAAGAGAAATCTGTCATTGCTTGAAGATATTATCAGTTAAGAAATAAGCTAAGAAAGCAAATGGGCAAATTTTGGCCTAAAAGAGTTAAACAATTACAGACTTCAATAATGTTTCTTTAGAGCATTAATAATAAGAAATACAATGGAAGAAAGAACACTATAAAAATGTGAAAGTCCTTTCTAGAGCTAGTCTAAAATATGGCTGAGCTAAGGGTTTGAAAAGATTACCTTCAGTGCAAGGGGAGCAGTGGAACTGGAAGATAACTAAGTTAAACACTACAGTGTTTTCCATTTCTTATTCTGCTATTGTTTTGTGTTTAGACTTCTGCTTTTGAAGGAAGAGTTTAGTCATGTTAATTTTAATAATTCTCATCTGCATATTCTTGCTACCAGAAAGTTCTTCCTAGACTCTGCTTGTTTGTTTCCGACAAAGCTGCTTGGAAGTCTCACTCTGTCTCACTCATCTCTGCTTTCAGTGTGCAACCCAGTGTTGGGCACTTAGGAGAGGGCACAATGTATCTTTCTCTGTTGAATGCCTTGTTTTTAGCGCAGGAGTGTAGGTATTTTTTATGTGTCTTTTTTTACATGGCTACCTAATACAATATATTGCAAGTGTTTTGAATAGTTCTGTACACATGTGGGTGGCTGACATTATAGCTTACATATTACACAATGATATTGTGTCTTAAAAATGGAGCATGGGTGAGAGGGATAGTATGGTGGAAGTGTCACTAAATTTCTAAATCTGTATATAGAAATACACGAAACTTGTATAAGAAATAAAATTTTAAAAAGATGACAATCTTTTTAAAGTTTTATTTGTTTATTTGAAAGTTACAGAGGCAGAGAGATAGAGAGAGAGAGAGACACTGATCTTCCATCCATTGGTTCACTCCCCAAACGGCCACAGTGGCTGAAATTGCGCAGATCCAAAGCCAGTGGCCAGGAGCTTCTTCTGGGTCGCCCACTCAGAAGCAGGAGTCCAAGGACTTGGACCATCTTCTACTGCTTTCCCAGGTCATAGCAGAGAGCTGGATTAGAAGTTGAGCAGCCAGCACTCGAACTGGCGCCCATATGGGATTCTGGCACTGCAGGCGGTGGATTTACCTGCTACCCAACAGTGCAGGTCCCAGATAACTCAATCTTAAAAGAGCTTCTCTGCAAAATGTTGAAGCCAAGGGCATTAGGCTTCTATTTATGATGAAATTTACCTTTACCAAGAAGAAGCTGATCAAAATGATACTTGAAAACACTAACACCAGACATAAAGACTCCTAAATATATTTCACTTAAGGATTCCATGTAGTCCTTTACAACTTTGATTATGAAATGCATGTGGAGTCATTCATTTGGAGCCTTCTCCCCTGAAGCTTTTGTTCTGACATAGTCACTCCAGGACTGAGTTTCTTACTCCAGTTTTTTTTTCCTTAGAAGATCTCTTCCAATGACTTCTGATAGATGCTTGTGTTATGTTATAAGATGACTGAATCGCAGGAAGGGCACTGCAAGGAACTACTTCAGTCTTGCTACACTACTTGCTCTCCCTGCAGCACCTGTAGCTTTGCTGGCACCCTAAATGCACTACCTCTTTTTCATTATGATTATTTTTTCCTGTTTAAGATATTAACAGCAATATATTGCATTGACATATTATTTTATATAACTTTCCAGACTTTTTTGAAACATGAAAAATTTATCTATCTTCAAATAAAGATCTTCATGGAAGTTTAAAATACATTAAGTGGCTGAGATTTTCAGGTTAACCAATATATGTGGTAGAGGATGGGAAGGAAATTGGTCTTAGGGCCTTGAGGACTCTGTCTGCTAGAGGTGCATGATCCAATTTCAAAATTACTGACATTTATTATTACTACAAACCTTCAAAACAGATTGGGCAGTTATTTTGAAAATATTCAGGCAACTGTATTTTAAGCAGTTTGCCAAGGTTTTTCATGTACAGAGCAAAGTACAGAATCCTAAGTACAGGGCCAAGACTGGAGTCAACATTCCATCAAAGGCATTTGGTACCCTTTTCATCAAAGTGATGGGTAATTATAAGCTGGGCAAAATGAATCTCACATATGAAATGAACATACGGTTTTGTTAAAGTTATTTAGCTCACAAGTATTTTTCTTCCATAAAAATTATCCGGATTATTAAATGAATTATGTCATGTCCTTTCAATGGATAGTTTTGTAGTCATAAGAATAAGGCATTCTAGGGGAGGGTGTTTAGCCCAGCAGTTAAGATGCCACTTGGGGCACTCACATCGCATCGTGGAGATCCTGAGTTCCTGTTCCAGCTCCACTTCTGATTCCAGTCTGATGCTAATGTGCATACTGGGAGGTAGCAGTTGATGGCTCAATAACTGGGTCCCTGACAGGAGAGCAGGATTGAATTCCTGGCTCCTGGCTTCAGTCTAGCCCACCCACAACTGTTGGAGGCATTTGGAGAGTGTATAACTGTTCTACAAATTGTCTTCTGAATCAGTTTTTAACACTATATAATTTCCAGTAAGGCCAAAACCTGTGAAAAATCTGAGACACTACTTTTCTGTAGATACACAAGACTCCAAATAGGACATCACACCTTTGTTATTTACAGCAATACCAGTAGTTATTGTAGCGCTAGTTCTTTATGACCCACTCTATACCAGGTGATGCAATGAGCGCCACATGGTTATACCTCTGAATACAGGGGTTTTCACCACAGGAGAGAAATTCCAAAATTATTACTCTTGGAGTTTAGATGACTGATGGAACATCTATCTCTTTCTCTACCCTAAAGAGAGAGAGGTTATTTTTTACTTGATTACACATAATGTAAACAGATATTTTTCTTGAGGCAGAGGGGGTGTCTCTACTTTGAGAAATGAACATTTGACTTGGAGGTGTAAGAAAAGTTTCATTCATCTTTGAAAGGGAGCAGGTGCCTCCAACATAAATGAGACAAGCAACTCATGTGGAGAGCAAATGATAGAATGTGGAGGAGACACTCCCTATCACTATAGCATATAAATTCCAATACTAGGAGGCCCATACTGTGTAGTAATGCTGAGTGATAAGAATAGCCTTTCAACAGTTTACTGAGTGAATTGAGTAAGGTTTTTGACAGGTATTCATTTTATAATTGTACAAAAGTCAGAATTTTAGCTTTTTAAAGTTGTATTTAGAAATTCCAATGTATTTTAGAGTACCTAGTACATAAAAAATGTTTTGGGTAGGCATTTGACTCAGCAGTTAAAATGCCTGCATTTCACGTGGGTGTACCTCAGTTCGAGTCCCTGCTCTGCTTCTGATACAACTTCCAGCGAATGTGCATCCTGTGATGGCTCAGGTAATTGAGTCCCTGCTATTCATAACAGAGATCCAAATGGAGTTGTGCGCTCCTAGCTTTAGTATGGAGTGCATGGAAGATCTCTTTCTGTCACTCTGCCTGTAAAATAAAAATAAATTAATAAAAAGATGGTCAATATTTATTGACTAAATTAATATGGTGAAAATGAATGAAAAGGTAATCATTATTTTTTCTGTTTTAAAAAAAGGATTATGGAACTTTAGTGATTTAAATAATATTAAAGAAGATGCTATACTCTCCTTTTTTCCATGATTCATTGGTAGGACATAGAAAGTAAGCATTATTACTTTGGTAGCTTTATTCTAAAAATGAGTGTATTCCACTTTGCACTTTATGTACTGTTTTCTTCATTTTATTTCAAAAGATTAGCCTTTAGCTATAATATTCCTTATACAACTAGCAGTAAAAGAGTGCTTGAGGACTGTGTATGATCCTTTGAGAAATAAAGGTGTAAATAGGGGACTTCCAAATTCCCCTGATTGCAGTTTATATTGATTAGAACTCTTGTGCTTTCAAATAACAGAAAATCAATTCAAACTATTCTAAGTAAGAAGGAAAATTTATTGGAAGGGTAAAAAGGAAAAATTATTGGAAGGATACATCATTGAATTTGAGGGCAGTGAAGCAGTTAGATCTTAGCAACCAAACTTAAAATTGCAGTACTGTGGAGAATACATGGAGCCCTCACACCATCTCTCATTTCTGTTTCTCTGTACAAGTCTTTCTTACTGCTTCCAAATTAGCTGTACGTTCTCATATAATGTGGCCGATTCCTCCGCATGTCAAAGGAACAGTTACTGATTGCAGACTATGACCCTATAATAAGCGAATGTCTTGCTCTTTCAGGATAAAGAATTGCTTTCCCAAGTTCTAGTAAAGGAAGTGACTTTCCAACTATATCAAGGACTCAGCCAACAAAACCATGGGATTTGGGCTGGAGCAACCTCTGTGAGACCATTTCAGCTTCTGGAAAACCTTGTGGACAGAGGAGAGGAGGTAATTTCTAGAAAAGGAGAATGAGATAATTTGATAAGTGTTCACTGGAGTAACTATTAAAAACTACTTGTGAGAAAAGAAGACCATCAACCCAGCGAACTAGGAAAGCATAAAACAGGACAAAGGCACAGCCAGGCAATTAAGAAAGAGAATGAAGAGGGTAAACTTGTGGGAGAAAAGAATAAATGAGACTCAGAGGGAAAATGAAGAAGGTGGAAATTTTCCAGTGGGGTGATAATGGTTCTTGCATTTTCCTAGAGTTGTTTGGAAGTCTAATGAACAAAGTTTCAAAAACATTTTGTCATATCCCATCTACTGTTCAATATGCTTTTTGGAGAGTCATAAAATTTCCATATCTGCATTATCTGATTTGGTAGCCACTAGCCACATTTGGATGCTAGATTCTTAAGATGCGGCTAATATGACAGAGCAATTGAGCTTTTAATTTTATTTAATTTAAATAGTCAGATATGGCTAGGGGTTGTCATATTAGAGAGTACAGTCTTATATCTGAGTCACTGAATATACAGTCAGTGGTGACAATATACAGATTTACTTCAAGGTATGTAGAAAAAACTGGAAATAAAAAGTACATTTAGGCGGTAGAATTGGGTGTAGAGATTAAGCCACTACCTGCAATGCTGTCATATCAAGTCAGAGTGCTAGTTCCAGCCCCAGCTGTTCTGCTTCTAATCCAGCCTCCTGCTAATATACGAGGAGAAGCAGAAGGGGATGGCACACATGCCTGGATCCTTCCCACACTTGTGGGAGACCCAGATGGAGTTTCTGGCTACTGGCTTCAGCCTGGCCTGGCCCCAGCTTTTGTGGATATTTGGGGATTGAAATTGCAGATGGAAAATCTCTTTCTCACATTGTTTCTCATTCTCTCTGTCACTTTGCCTTTCAAGAATAAATAAATCTTTTTGAAAGAAGTTTATTTTGCTGTATAAATGTTTTTGAAATCCATGTATAGTTTTCATTATTATATTATTATTATGTCATTTTCATTACTATGCATTTTCTTTTTTTTTTTTTTTAATTTTTTTTTAATCTTTTATTTAATGAATATAAATTTCCAAAGTACGACTCATGTGTTACAATGGCTTCCCCCCCATACCGTCCCTCCCACCCACAACCCTCCCCTTTCCCACTCCCTCTCCCCTTCCATTCACATCAAGATTCATTTTCGATTATCTTAATATACAGAAGATCAGCTTAGTATACCTTAAGTAAGTATTTCAACAGTTTGCTCCCACACAGAAACATAAAGTGAAAAATAATAGATGATTTTTTTTAAATGATGATGAAATCAGATCAGACCTATTGTCATGTTTAATTCCAGTGAGAGTCAAGTTGGGAATTGATAATTTCTTTCTTTCTTTTTTTTTTTTTTTTTACAGAAGATCAGTTTAGTGTACATTAAGTAAAGATTTCAGTCGTTTGCACCCCCATAGAAACACAAAGTGAAATATACTGTTTGAGTACTCGTTATAGCATTAAGCCTCAGTGTACAGCACGTTAAGGACAGAGATCCTACATGAGGAGTAAGTGCACAGTGACTCCTGTTGTTGACTTTACCAATTGACACTCCTGTTTATGGCATCAGTAATCTCCCTATGCACCAGTTATGAGTTTCCAAGGCTATGGAAGCCCCTTGAGTTCTCCGACTCTTATCTTGTTTAGACACGGTCATAGTCAAAGTGGAGGTTCTCTCCTCCCTTCAGAGAAAGGCACCTCCCTCTTTGAAGACCTGTTCTTTCCACTGGGATCTCACTCACAGAGATCTTTTTGCCAGAGTGTCTTGGCTTTCCATGCCTGAAATACTCTCATGGGCTTTTCAGCCAGATCCGAGTGCCTTTAGGGCTGATTCTGAGGCCAGAGTGCTATTTAGGACATCCGCCATTCTATGAGTCTGCTGAGTATCTCACTTCCCATGTTGGATCACTCTCCCCTTTATTTATTCTATCGAACCTGGTGTTAGCAGATACTAGACTTGTTTATGTGCTCCCTTTGACTCTT